TACATTGCTACATAAAAGAATGTCATGTTATATTATCCTATTCTGATTAATGGTAATCTGTTAGAATATGTAATATTAATAGTGATTCCATTAGTTTCCTGTGGCCTATATAAAAAACTCACGAACTTAAAGTCTTTAAGCAACGTAAAGTTATTCTCTTACAGTTGTGGAAGCTAGAATTCCAAAGTCAGTACTACAGTCCTAAAATGAGGGTGTTGACAGGACCACCCTACATAGACTCCAGGAGAAGAGTTTTTCCTGCCACTCCCAGTTGCTGTTGGCTACTGACAATCGCTGGCTTCTGGATATGCCGCCCCAGTCTTTGCTCCCACGGCCACAGTGCCTTCTCCTCTTTCAGGTGTGCCAGACTGCCTTGCATAAGGACACCTATAATTGCATTGATGAACACTTGGAGAATCTATGATAACTTTCTCCTCAAAATCTTTAACTTAATGGCATGTGCAAAATTCCTTTTCAAATAAAGTAACGTTACAGATTCCAGGGATTAGGAGGTGGGTATTTTGGGGTGCCATAATTCAGCCAACGACATTGTTCTTTCTGTTGAGATGAATTATGAAGGATTTTATTAATCATAATTATAGAATATTTGAATTTTTCAGTAAGAATGTATCTTTATAATGAAAAAAAGATTGCATTTTTCTAAAGAGTAAAAACAAGGGTGAAATACCTTGTGTATATTAATTCAGCAAATGTTTTTGCACTTCCTAATGTTGAGCAGGTCCTGTGTTATGGTAATGGAAGCTTATACAGTATCTTGAAGCAAAATTATGCTTATTTTTTTTTTTTCCTTCTCTGCCAAGGCGAATGAGCCTTCGTAAAATAATAATAAAATGATGGTTAACTTGGAGTTGAAACTCCAAATAAGTCAAATACTAAAAGAAATTCCTAGGTACTCTAAAAGGAATACTTTCTGGATACCAAAAGATCTGACATGTAAGTTTACATAAAAATTATTCATCTTTGGCCCTCCCTGGTGGTTCAAGGGGTTAAAGCACAGCACTATGAAGCTATCTGCAGCCACCACAGCACCGTTCCCTGCCAGCGAGTGACCCACATGGCGCAGCAGACCTCTCCTGTCTCCACTATTCCCTTCAACAGTGTATTTCAGTACTTTTGCTTGTTCTGCTCCCAACTCTGTCTCTGGTGAATCCTCTCACCCACCCACACCTCTCCTGTACCCCAGTTCTTGCATTCATGTATAAATAAATCTTTTTTTAAAAAATTGTTAAATCTTTGATCCTGGAGATGTGTTAAGTGGTCCCAGATGACTGGATATGGAAAATATCTTCATTTTCAGAAGTGGCAACAAGGAATTCTGCATATTTTAGAATGGTGAGCTAAATGTTAAACCTAGAACAATCATATTAGTTTTATATTTTAGGAAAACCTGGGGGGGGGTGGGCTTCTTATTTTGGGGACCAGCTTTCTCCATAGAGTATAAGATGTCCTAATTTCATTTATAACATAATTATCAATTTAATACACACAATTTTCAGCAACATATAACAAAGTTAATCATTTCATTTTTTACAAAATGAAATGTGAGCTGGTTGTCAAGTCATATGAATCTTCATAACTAGTTAGCAGTTGTACTAGGAAAGTATTGGTGCTTTTTTGGTGAGGATAGGAAACTGTCTCTAGAGTCCTGTCAAGATTGCATCCTGTCACAGGTTTGCTGCAAATATTCATCTATGTGTATGTATGGTTTGATTTGCAAAATGTAATTTTAAAAAATAGAGGAGTTTTTTTTTGACAACTCTATGATACAGTTTATAAATAGTTTACCCATTTAAAGTACAGAATATAGTGGGTTTTTTTGAATATTTACCATGCTTTATAATTATTACCATAAACTGATTTTAGTAGAAAATGGGTTTATTTTACAGGTAATGTTTTGAAGTTTATTTTTTTGCTTAAAATTATATCAAAAGGGAGGAAAGGAGTACATTGTGAATATCTGTTCATGTCAGTACAGTTAGATAGAATTGCATCATTCTTTTAAACATCAGCTCTGTGACATACATAGAGGTACTTGTACAGTCTTCCACTGATGAGCATGTAGATAATGTGTTGCTTGGAACCTCCTACATCTTCAAACACTTGTATGTACAACTGGCCTGCAGATAACCTTGTTTTGTTGAACTTTGTTTCATTATAACACTGATGAGTAAAATGGCAATTGACCATTGCTCAATGAAAAGGTATTATTTAATGAGTTGGTCTCAATAAACCTTATTTTGCTTAAAGTAACCATTTTGAAGAACCTATTAACTACATGAAGTGAGGAGTTACTATATATTGGTTTAATCCATACGGTAATCTTGTTACTCCAGCCATTTAATTCCTAGGGGGATTGTGTTTTTTTAAGATTTTTTTATTTATACATACAGAACTGGGATACAGGCCAGAGGGGGCGGGGTGAGCATGGGGTGAGGGGAGGTGAGAGGATTCACCAGAGATAGTGGGGAGAAGAACAGGCTGATCTACTGAAATACACTACTGAGGGGAAGCAGCAGGGAGATAGGAGATAACTTTAGAGAGAGATAAGATTGTGTCAAGAAAGGGTAATTAGGTGACTAGGGAAAGGCATTTTGAGAAGATAAAGTAGGTATGAGTTCTAATGACCGGGGTAGCTATCTGTAGACATCTTTATGTAACACAAGTGGTGGTTACATTTATTGAAAATAGAAATAGGGGCTAAGTCTCTGCCCCATCACAGCTACCGCCCCAGGGAGCTGACCCACCTACTGTGCTGCTTGCCTCTCAGCTGCTTCCTCTTCAGTGCATTTCAGAAGATCTGCCTGCTCTGCTCCCTCTCTGTCTCTGTTGAACCCTTTCAACTCCCTCTCCCCTCCCAAGCCCCAGTTTTATGCAAAAATAAGTAAAATTTTAAAAAGAAAATATAAATAGGTGCCTATTAGATGGTGACTAGTAATGTTTCACATCCTGTTGATAGCATTAATATACAGATTGTTTTACCCAAACTCTCTGGGACCCTCACCTACAAAACAGAGATAGTAAATCTGCCTCTGTGGGGTTGTTAGGATCATTTGATGGGAAAATGGGCTAAGTTGTTTCATGCTCCCCCATAACAGGATCTCAGTTGCTGAGTAAGATTTCATGATATTTCACACAGAGAAACTATTCCTAGCAATTTTGCAGATCTCAAATGAAATGGCTTACTTGAATTAGTGATTTCCCTATCAGTGGGGCCCTTACATATATGTTAGATGACTGTTCTCCCAATATGTTATGGAAGACATTCATGTGTTAGGTAAGGAATGAGACAGGTTCTCCTCAGAGGCCCCGTCCCCACCCATTGTTAATAAGCTGACAATACTCTTCTGAAAATATCTTATACTTGAGGTCTAATTAGTAAAATCTAAAATTGGAGCTACGAGGTGAAGTTGATAATGTGAGGTTGACTTACATGGTTCACTTGGGGATCCCTTGCATTTTTATGTACTGTATATACATATAAAGCAGTCTTAAAAATTACTTATCATAACCACTACTTGAGGTAATCTTTACAGAGTAGGAAATAAGCACAAAGAGGATAAGAAATTTGTCCTGATAGTACAGTAGTAATCAACAGTGAGTCTAGAACTAGGACCTAGATCTCTAACTCTTAATACAGTGTAGGTAGTACCCCACCAATATGTGGCATTGCTTTACCAGCCAAAATCACTTTATAGCTTGCTTATTTTTTTCTTTCCCTTTATAGGGTCAATGATAACAATTATAAACATTCCTGGGAACTTCGGTGAAGGATTTGATTTTTCAGTGCTGCTCAAGAGAAAGCCCTGGATCTATAAGTAAATAAAGAATTCTTTTGTGTGGGTTATATACATATAGATGTTTTCATGAAGAGGAGCGAAAAGCCAGAAGGATATAGACAGATGAGGCCTAAGACCTTTCCAGCCAGTAACTACACTGGCAACAGCCGGCAAATGTTGCAAGAGATTCGGGAATCTCTTAGGAATTTATCTAAACCATCTGATGCAGCTAAGGCTGAGCAGAATATGAGTAAAATGTCAACTGAAGACCCTCGACAAGTCAGAAATCCACCCAAATTTGGGACACATCATAAAGCCTTACTAGAAATTCGAAACTCTCTGCTACCATTTGCAAATGAAGCAAGTTCTTCCCGGAATACTTCAGAAATTAATCCACAAATGTTTCAAGACTTGCAAGCTGCTGGATTTGATGAGGTAAGAATGTTTGAACACCAGAGAGAATGCTTTCTTAATATACATATGGTGACATAAGGTGATCTCACTTCTAAATATTCCCTTTGAGAGAATTTATCTAGGTATACAATTCTGTATATTGTATGAGCAGAGAATGTTGTTTATAATTCCATTATTAAAACAAAATAATTATTATCTCCTTAGTTTTCTCTGGTTTCTGGGATTTAAAAGGTCACTTCATGAAGTCAGAGTGGAAGTGCAGTTGAAGAAAGCCACAGGTGAGGGCAGGGTAAGGACATCTGTTCATGTGCAGTAGGTGCTCTGGTGAGTGGAGTAACTTACAGAGAGGACAGCTCCAGAGTGATGAAGTTTACATTTATACTTCAGAGAAAAAGTATAATCAGGAATTACGGTAAATAAGTATGTTTGTATCACTCTTAGACCCAACTCTTACATTCACAAAACTGAAAATTTACCTGTTGATCAATCTCCAAGAATTTCAGTTTAATTTTAATGAAATTTCAGGTAATGGTAATTATGCCAAGTCTCTACTATTTATCCTCAGAATTCATTTTTGAAAGTTTTTCATAGCATATATAATCATTTTGTTTAGGTGTTTAATAAAATTTATTCTCCCTGATTACATACTTTATATTAGCTAACATATCTAGTCCTTCTTAGAAAACTTAAAGTATAAAAGAAAAAGTAACTGAAAAGTATTTTAGCACTCCTACCATTAAAATTTCTTCATTGTTTTTAATATTCAGTATCTACATTTTTGGACATCTCTACATTTTTGCATATGCAAATTAGAAACTGTTTCTCAGATCAAATAGAAGTCTTAGAGCTGCATTCAGCACTTGGTGTAGTGGCCTCATGATGCCTCAAGGGATGCAGTTACTTTCCCTCTGCTACCCTCGGCATAGGGTTTCAAAATATTCTTGTGGCTGGAACCCTGGAGCATGGAGCTGTCATACTAGACAATCAGGGTCATCAAACTGAGGAAGTTCTAGCCACACTGAGAGCCTGGGCATAGGTGTTCTTGCTAACCAGCCTGAGTTGCTCCATGTCCAAGACTTCCCAGCTGAGACTCAGTATCTCCCTGGCGGGCAGGAAGCTTTCACAATAGTCCCCTTGGTCAAAAACAGTGGTGGGCACCATCCTGGCAACCCCATCACCACCAGCACTGGCAAGCTGCCATTTCAGAACCATCCCCTTAATCCAATTAATATATTTAATTTTTTAAAGATTTATTTATTTATGCATATAGAACTGTGGTATAGGCCAGAGGTGTGGGGGCTATAAGAGGATTCACCAGAGACAGTGAGGAGCAGGATAGGCAGATGGATGAAGTAGATTGCTGAGGGGAGCAGTGGGTAGGTCAGGAGAAGTCTGTTGCACCATGTGGATCACAATGTAGGGTCAGGGATGGAACTTGCACTGAAGAGGCTGTGGCTAGCTTACAGTGCTGTGTTCTAACCCGTTGTGCCACCAGGGAGGACCATGTATTTAATATTTTTAAATGGGAACCTAAGTAAGCATTGTAGTAAGAGACCTGAAAAGCACAGGCATGATTAAATTAGGGAGATTAAAACTCTTTTGAGTCTATTTGTTTATCCACTTGATTAATATTTCCTATTTTTTTTTAACACTTAAATGTTTTAAGAACATTGGATTTGAACCAGAAAATCAATATCAAAGAGAAGGGGAGAGGACCTTGGATGTTTTCCTGATTAATAGTTGGAGGATTAAAGAAATTACTTGAATGAAGATTTTCCATAGCACTTTCTTCTTGACCTCTTAGCCAAAAGACAAAGACTAAAATGATGACAGAATCATTGATCTTTTTTCTTTTAAGATATTGCTAGTGGATCAAGATTATAAAATCATGTGAATATAAGGCCCTTTAGAGGTAATGTGCTGTGTCAGTTAAATCAGCTCAGATAAGTAGATCTGTATGTATGGAGCTCTCTCTATGCGTGAACCCATGACTCAGGACAGTGAGTCAACCCACAGGTGCATCATGTCTGATGTAAATGGTGTAAAGAAAGCTGAACATCGGTCATTGTTCAGTCTATTTGTTGGTAATGACAATAATTGCTTTGATTACAAAGGTTAGCATATTTAAGATGGCATCTAAAGCCATGTGGGCAAGTCAGTTACTCATGCAGTGTGTCTCCTGTATATATATGTATATATGGGGTTTACATGTTATATTAAACTTCTATATAGTTTTTCTCTTTAAAAGAAAAAGGATGTTAGTGTTACTCTAATCACATTTGAAAATTGTCACTTCTGATAATTAACCCCCCTTAAGCAAGATTGCTTTTAAACATGTATATAGTTATGATACTGTTTATACCCACAGTGATGTAAAGGACAGTTTAGGGCTACCTCCTTGAATTATTTGTTCAGTAGCTTTCCATTATATTGCAGAATTTGTCCAAGATCCTAATGTGGTAATTCAAAATCCTTACTCAGTTTTTACTTCATTGTTTTTAGCATTTCATAAGCCCTTCTCTATTTCTTTAGCTATGCCAACTTCAAGACAGATGCAATTTTTGAGAATCTTAAATATTTCAATGTTAAAGTTCTCATAATAAATGTTAAGTAGGATTGATAGATTTGGAGGGACATAAATTTATAATCACTGCAATGTGTTTTTGCTACTAAAGCATACTAATGTGAACATAATATTTTCCTATCAGACTTATATTCCAAAGTTACTAATTTGATAGTGTGCTTTTGCACATGCACTGACAATCCCACTTATGGAACAATTGATTAATATTGTTACAGAGGTAAAAAATATTCTAAAATATAGCAATATTTAAAGATAAACACCAGCATTATAATCACCATAAAAAAAAATTACAGGGCCTCCCTGGTGGCACAGGGGTTAGAGACACAGCACTATCAAGCTATCAGCAGCCACTGCAGCAAGAGTTCAATCTCCTGCTGAGGAGCTGACCCACATGGCCCAGCAGTCCTCTTCTTTCTCACCTGCTGCTCCCCTCAGCAGTGTGTTTCACCACATCCACCTGTTTTGCTCCCCTCTCAGACTCTAGTGAATCCTCTTACTCCCTGCACCTCTGATCTACACCCCAGCTCTTGTAGGCATAAATAAATAAATCTTTTTTTTTTTTAAATCACAGCTTGAAATTCTAGTGCATTTAACAAGAATAGGTCTACAATATTAAAAAAAAAAAAAGTGCCTCCTGGTGAATTTTAATTTGTGTTACTTTTATTTTGTATGTAAGCTAAGACTTAAATTCTTTGTATCTCACAATAAATTTGCTAAATCTGATTAGCCTTAAATGTGTCCATGCTGTATTAGTTAGGGATTGAGTGTTTGCTTTAACAGAAAATCCAGATAATGCTCAAAACAAAATAGTTACTCAGATTATATAACACGCATTGATCTATCTTCAAAATAAGACTCTTGAGTTATCCTTCTTAGTGGCAACTAGCCATTATAACATATCAATTGTCAGCATACAGGATGCAAGAGAAGGGTCAGTGCCTAAATCAGGATAACAACATTCCTCCAGAATTCTCTGCTTTATCTCATGGGTCAGAATTTTCATGTGACCTTACACTGTAGGTAGAAGGAAAACTTAGAACAAAATCAGTAACTTTTTCTAAGAAAAGGATACTAGATCTTGAGTAGGCAACAACTTTTTTTTTTTTTTTTGGCTGGTCTCACACTCCTCTCCAGTTATTTCACTTAGGAGGATCAATCATATCTCTTAAAGTCATTTTTCTCTTTTTTTTTTTTCAAGGGTTTATTTATTTATGCATTCTGGAACTAGGGTACAGGCCAGAGGTTGCAGGGGGTGAGAGGATTCACTAAAGACAGAGCAGGAAGCAGAACACTGAAATACACTGCTTGATGGGAGCAGCAGGCAAGACAGGAGAGGTCCACTGCAACCTGTAGGTCACTTCCCTGGCCAGGGATGGAACTCCTGCAGCAGTGGCTGCTGACTTTAACCCCTTGCACCACCAGTGAGGCCCCTCATTTCTCATTTTAAAATACTGTTTGAAATTGTCTAGAACAAGTAAGTAGCTATAGTCCTCCTGAAAAGTAAGTGTCAACATGTAACATAAAGGACAAGCAGCAAAACAGTTAAACAAACCTCATTTGGGCTCCAAGCACTGTTTTCAAATGATTTTACTTGTTTTTTAATCCTCACATCCACTGTGTGAGTGTATTACAAGTGAAGAAAATGAACTCTGAAATTTTAAATAACTTGCAAAGATAAAACATAAAAGTGGGCCACATAAATCTAGTATATTTTAGTTTCTAAGCATGAAAAACAAAAACATATGGTAATGAACACTTAGAACTCAAGTTCAGTTCTGTTTGATTCTAAACAGTCTCCTTTTTCTGTCACACCTCAGACTTCCTATAGTCTTCATTACACAATAATATCGATTTTAAGTGTTTTTTTTTCCCTATCTAAATTTGTGTCTTTGAAGTAAAGTTTCCATTTCTGAAAATGAAAACTCTAGGAAGATAGGAATCAGACCAACTTAGCTCTTTTACTGGTATTTGCAGTGACTTGCTTAATAAAGTGTTCTAATGCTACAAATAGTAGTTTCTACTATTTTGATTGGTATCTTTTTAAAAATCCAATAGTGTGTTGTTTGTTTATGTAAGAATGAAGTTAAGAAAATCAGGATCATGGTGCTATGATTTTGCCCAAAAGTTAATCCTAGAAGAAAACAGTGATGAGTTACATAAAGGTAAACATACTAAAGGAACATTTGATGGGTTTGAGCAATTGCTTTTTTTTTAGTAATTTAATTGTGTGGATTTCTAGAGTAGTTATAAACAGGACATTAGTATTATGGGTTGGAATTCTGTCTTATATAATTATGAACTTCTGTAACAACACAGTGTTTTTTCGTATTAATTATACAATTTAAATTTTGTTTATTTTTTAAACTTCATTTAGGACATGGTTGCACAAGCTCTTCAGAAAACTAACAACAGAAGTATAGAAGCCGCAATTGAGTTCATTAGTAAAATGAGTTACCAGGATCCTCGACGGGAACAGATGGCAGCAGCGGCAGCCAGACCTATTAATGCCAGCTTGAAGCCAGGTGATTAATCAAACATTTTTTCCAGCCCCTGCTATTATAGTTTTAATACATTTAGGTATTAAATATCAGATCTTCAGTTCTAGGAACTGTTAAAAGTATCCCAGTAAGTAAAAGTCTCAAATTAAGATTAGAATGATAAGGTGTTATTCCAAAATGAATTTGACAATGGGGGGTCCTAATTTCTGCAAGAAATTCTGATAAGGATCAGCCTGGGTTGACAACTCTGACTGTCTACACTGCAGCTGAAATATTTCTTTTTGAACTTTCTTCTGTTTCTATTTTTGCTTAGAAGAACTGGGGGTTTATAGGCCAGAGATGAGAGAGTTGAGAGGATTCATCAGAGGCAGTGGAGAGAGTAGGCAGACTTACTGAAATCCCCTGCTAAGAAGGGCTGGGGACATGACGGGAGAGGTCTGCTGTCATAGCAGTGACTGCGCTGAGACGTAACCCCCAGGCCACCAGCAAGGCCCTGAAAAATATTTCCATTTTTGAAACTATAATTAAACTTTTTCTCTTTTTAATTTTTATGAGTGAATATGTTTTTCATAGATATTTAGAAAGTAAATAAAAAGAAAAAGATTAATACTGAATTTTCGTGTGTTTTACACTCAAGAAAATCTGAGTGAGTTTATTATGTGTGTATTTTGATTTTTGTTTTAAGAAAAAATGGGGTTATGTTAAAGTGTTGCTACTTTATTCACTTAATGTACTATGCATAACTTTCCTTATTTAATATTCTACAAAATAACTGAAATGACTACATTAAAATAGATTTATTATATACTTTATACATTTAGCCAGTCTCCCATTTTTTTGTTTTAAAGATTTGTTTATTTATTCATATGGAACTGGGGTACAGGCCAGAGATGTGGAGGGTGAGAGGCTTCACCAGAGAGAGTGGGGAGCAGAACAGGCAGATCAATGAAGTACACTGCTGAGGGGAGCAGCGGGCGGGTCAGGAGAGGTCTGCCATGCCTTGTGGATCTCCTCATGGGCAGGCCGGAATCCAACTCATGCTGAAGTGGCTTTAGCTTCTTAATGCTGTGCTTTAACCTGCTGCGCCATCAGGGAGGGCCCCAGTCTCCCATTTTTTGATATTTGCCTTATTTCCTTTCCTCTTTTTTCACTTTGTTATTATAGACAGCATTGTAGTTAATCTTTTTTGTACATTCCTGATAATTTCATAGGACTTTTTTTTTTTGATTAAGGTTGTTATTATTATTATTATTTAGATATTTCTGTCCAGAAAGGTGATGCTCATTTACATTCTCCCTGTTTAATATGAGAATGCCGATATTTACATATCCTGGGTATTATCATTTTGTCTATTTAATGACTGTGAAAGTATATCTTATATTCACATTTCTTTGATCATTGGTAAATGAACGTTTGTTTATTGGATATGTTTTTTTTTTTTTTAAAGATTTATTTATTTGTGCATCCAGAACTGGGGTACAGGCCAGAGGCTCAGGGGCGGCGAGAGGCCTCACCAGAGACAGAGCGGGGAACAGAACAGGCAGATCAACGAAGTACACTGCTGAGGGGAGCAGCGGGCGGGCCAGGAGAGGTCTGCCACGCCATGTGGTCTCCTCCGGGGCAGGCGGGAATCGAACTCATGCGGGAGCGGCCTCAGATTCTCAGTGCTGTGCTTTAACCCGCTGCGCCACCAGGGAGGGCCTATTGGATATGTTTTAACTGACACTTTGTTTTTCTTTTTTTAAGATTTATTTATGTTTACAAGAAGTGGGGTACAGGCCAGAGGTGTGGGAGTGGGGGTGAGGACTCACCAGAGGCAGAGTTGGGAGCAGAACAAGCAGATCCACTGAAATATACTGTTGGGGGGGCAGTGGGCAAGACAGGAGAGGTCTGCTGAGCAATGTGGGTAAGCTTCTGACCAGGGATTAAACTTAGGCTTTCTCAGTGATAGCACTAAGACTTAACCCCTAGGCCACTGAGAAGGCCTGAGAGCAGAATTTTGTGTAAGAAAAATCATATGTCTGGTTTTGGACATAGATTGATTTAGGTTCATTGAGTTTTCCAAGAAAGATGTCTGGTAAGTAGCTAGATCTATATGGATAGGCCCTGCATATGAAATAGGTCACCTGTAGGAGAGAACATAGACAAATTAGACAAAATGACCTACAACACCAAACTTAGTAACTCTTTGGAGACCACAAGCCTGCAAAGACAGCAGAAGGGTTAGAAGAAGAAGGAAAAGAAACTAATAAGGTTTCTAGTGTCTTGGAAGCTGAGGGAAGAAGTCATTGCAAGAAGGAAAGGATCACTTCAAAAATGCCATATACTACTAAAAAAGAAAGATCAACCAAGGTGATAATTGGAAAATATCTTTTGGTTGTAGTGATGTGATACATTAGTTTACGAGGGCCACCTAGGTAAATTGAAATACCACAAACTGGGCGGTATAAACAACAGAATCTTATTTTTCGACAGTTCAGGAGGCCACAAGTCCAAGATCAAGGTGATAAGAGGTTTGACTGCTCCCAAACCTCTCTTTGTGGCTAACAGATGGTCACAGTCTCACTTGTCTTCACAGCTGTCCCACTGCATGCTCATGTTTCTGATGTCTCTCCAAATTTCCCCCCATTAAGGACACTAGTCATTAAATTTAGGCCCATCCTAATGACTTCATTTAACTATAATTGCCTCTTGAAAGACACTATCTCCAAATAGAGTGACATTTTGTGGTACAGGAGTTAAGACTTTCAGTGACTAGGGGGGTGGCAAGAGGAAAGACAGACATACTTCTGCTTAAAACATACGGGCTGACATTTCAGTCATAGGAGAATAATGGAGAGGATTGAGGACTAAATGGGTGTGAGGTAACAACTCAAGTATAGACAGCTCCTTGAGGAGTTTTGTCTGAGGGTAAAGTTAAGACCCAAGATAAGTAATTCTTATCTGTAGTAATGACCTTATATTTTTTTAAATTTCTAATTATGGATTAATAATTTTATAAAATAAAAGTAAATTTTTAGAAAGTTAATGACATATAAAATATAAGCCCAAGTATTAATATTATTACTTTTAGCAGATATAAAATGATTCTTCTCACATTTTTGAGAAGTTTTTAGTTTTTTTTTCCCTCTCCTTTCCCATATTTATCTCATATTGGGCCAATACCAGTTCGTAGGCCAGTATCAAATAATACTTTGAGATAGAAGTGTATATGGGATTGCCTTATTATTTTTTAATTAGGAAGTATTTATTCATACTTAAAAGGTGATTGTAAGGCTCCAGTTAAGGAATGGATCTGGTAGTTTAAGGAGTCTGAGGATGACAAGAATAATAATAGAGACCAAAGGAAGAAGGATTTCCTGACAGGACTGAGGTCATTTGTCGGTACTAATTTTGAAGGTGCTGATTATGAATTTATGGTGAAATCAATCTGCTCTTTGTATCAGCTTTTTCGTAACAGGCAGAAGAAGAAGCTAGCTCTATCCACAAGTAGAGTTTTACTAAACAAATACAAAATAAGATAAAATTTAAAATATTGCTGTTCAAAATAATAACTTTGAAGTTCTTACTCAGAGCTTATTCTGTCTACCTTATTAGCTTCACATACCTTCCAAATTACCCTCAAACTTTATCTGTCACCACTTTTCCCCTATTTACTGTTCTAAAGCCATAGTGAGCTTCCTCTTCTTGAAAAATACTGGGCTCCCACCTCAGGACCTTGGCCCCATCTTCAAACATGTCATCTCCTCAGGTGAGCCCTTTCTCTCCTGTTTCCCTCTACCATTCAACAGCCTTTGAGTCCTTCATATAGTAACATACTCTGAGGTTACTTTGTTTATTCACTTGTTGGTTGTCAGTCTCTTCCCCCAAGAATGTAGACTGCATGGGGCCAGAGTTATTTTGTTCTCCAATATCCTTGGATAGTATAGGGCAGTGTGTGGCATGTTGATGCTCGGTAGACATTTACTGAATGATTAGAATTGTGGAGAGAGAAAAGCAACACAGAGTAAAGAAAGAAATGAGGTGCCATGGCTTAAATTGACTACAGGAGGACTGACAGAGGCAGGTATTAAGATTGGAGGTCTTGATGATGGTGGAGAACATTTGCAGTAGGGTAGTTAAACAGGAGAAATTATGATCTAAGAATATAAAACAGATTAGGGATTTTGAAAAGGGAGGAGATAATAAGTGATACCAAAATTATAAACATGATCTTGGGAATGATATTTGAGGTGGAGTAAAAGGTAAGTGTCCAAGAGACTGAGGTGGGGGTGTGGTACAGGATTCCTCCACATGGACACATGGACATGGAACTTACAGAATGTTGGCAGGGTTTAGGGCAGACCAAACACCAGTGTCATGGAATAGCAAGTGTGAGTTTATTCAGTGAGCAATGGAGGTGGCCTCCTATATTACATGGGCTTTGAAAGGTCTGATAGGAGTAATAATGAACTGGAAGTGTAAATGAAGAGACATAGAATCCTATCTTAATAAAAATAAACTTAGCCCTAGTAAGGCTGAAAGGAAATTAATAAATAGTAGAAGATAACCAGCTTTTTAGGAGGGGGTGGAAAAGCCTGTGGCAGAAATTGGTGATACAAGAGCTTTTACTAGTCAGAGAGATCAGCATGTCTAGAGGACACTGGTAGAACAGTTTAGAAAGTGGAAGAATACAGCTTCATGGGAGTTGGCACCACAGTAGAGATGGCTGTGCACTCCAGGGTTTTGGGGACTTTAACTGTAAAAGCCGACTGAGCCACTTGCTACATATAGCCTCAGCTGACTGACGGAGGTAAGACTTAAGTTTAGTGGCCAGAGGACTTACCTGGCTTGCCCAGAGTGATGACTTTCTTTCAAGTCATAGACCCAAGATGGTGTCCAAACTTGATGAAGTGGAGGGGTGCTAAACAACATGGTGAACATTCACTGCTTTATTTATAGCTGTTGTTAAATATATTTTCTACCAGGATGATGTTAACCTTTGGAATTTTTGGATTTCTTTTTTTTAACAGTATGTTTTATGTATTAGGATACCAGTATTTTACTGGTACCTTTGCCATACTTGGGAATACTCTTGTACTTCCCAAGAGCAATAGTAAGGTACCTATATGGTAGGTTTAATGATACATTGAATGGTCACTTATTTTCCCCTAGTATTTGTATCATTTTTTTTTGAGTGTTATTTATTTACGCATATAAGAACTAGGGTACAGGCCAGAGGTAGGGGGTGGTGAGAGGCATCACCAGAGACAGTGGGGAGCAGAACAGGCAGATTGACTGAAGTACACTGCTGAGGGGAGCACATGAGAGACCTGTCTACCTTGCCATGTGGGTTATCTCCCTGGCAGGGATTTAATTTGGGGCTTGAACTCGTGCTGCAGTGGCTACAGATAGCTTCATAGTGTTGCACTTTAACCCTTGTACCACCAGGGAGGTCCCTGTATGGTTTCATTTTTAACATTTAAAACATTTAAGCCTGTTGGAATGTATATTTGATATATACTGTATTCAATACAAATGTATTTTATATACATTATTTTTAATATTATTTTTAATATTTAATATTATATAAAAAAGGTATGAGAGGCCTCCCTGGTCGTGCAAGGGTTAGTCTCAGCACTGTCAAGCTACTGCCAGCCACAGCAGCACAAGTTCAATCACTGGCCAGGAAGGTGACCCACATGGCACAGTAGCCCTCTCCTGTCTTACCTACTGTTACCCTCAGTAGTGTATTTCAGTCAGTTCACCTGTTCTGGTCCTCAGCCTGCCTCTGATGAATCCTCTCACACCCATGGTTTATACCCCAGTTCTTATATGCATAAATTAAATAAATAAATAAATAAAATTTAAAAAGTGAAGATGAAAGAAATATTATGCTTGCACAGAAAGAGAGATGCAAAGATAATATAAGCGGGCAGAAAGTACTTATGTACATTTTCAGTGTATGATATATCTTTTTCCAAGTGGCCAGGCTATTTTAAATACTTTGGGTGTTGGGCCCTCCCTGGTGGTGCAGCCAGTTAAAGCACAGCACTATGAAATTATTATAGGCACTGCAGCATGAGTTTGAGCCCCGGCCAGAGGGGTGACCCACATGGCGTAGCAGACCTCTCCTGACCCTCCTGCTGCTCCCTTTAGGTGTGTATTTCAGTCGATCTGCCTGTTCTGCTTCCCACTCTGCCTCTGGTGAATCCTCTCACCCCTAAACCTCTGGCCTGCACCCTAGTTCTTTATGTATAAAAAAATAAATCTTTAAAAAAAATAAAAACTTTGAGGAGGCGGGTTTGGGGCCATCATTTATTTATTTGGAAGTTCCATTAAAGAGAGACTATAAGTGTATAAATTATAAATGTTCTGTTCATTACTCCCTGTTGTCTTTTTCCTCTTTAGAAGTGATATTGATGTATATGTGGGGAGGAGGTGGCCATATTGAAATGTACAGCTGTCTATCAAGATTACAAATGGTCACACTGTTGGATTCAATTATGTTACTTTTAGTAATTTATATACTGAACATATATTTGAAATAATATCTGTACAGAATTTTCCATCTTTTTTGTAAAGGAAAAAAACCTTAAGAAACAGATGGGACTGTTAAATAAATTAGGTTATACCCAAACAATGAAATACCATGACATTTTATTTATTTATTTATTTATTTATTTTTTGTTTTTTTATTTTATTTTTTTTAAGGATTTATTTATTTATTCATACAGAACTGGGGTACAGGCCAGAGGCTCAGGGGCGGTGAGAGGCTTCACCAGAGACAGAGTGGGGAGCAGAACAGGCAGATCGACGAAGTACACTGCTGAGGGGAGCAGCGGGCGGGTCAGGAGAGGTCTGGCTCACCATGTGGTCTCCTCTGGGGCAGGCGGCAGGCGGGAATCGAACTCATACGGAAGTGGCTTCAGATTCTCAGTGCTGTGCTTTAACCCGCTGCGCCACCAGGGAGGGCCCCATGACATTTTTTTAAGTGAAAAAATAATATACAGAATGTTTGATTTTTTTTTTTTAAATGAAAAAAGTCAGGCACAATACTAAAGCCAAGAGGTATATTATTTTCCAGTGTGTTCCTAAAATACCCTACTCATGAAATGAGTTACCAGGTGAGGAAACTGGCTGGCTTTTGTACCTTTTGCATTTTGAGTTATGAGAAGAATGCATCATCTAATGAAAACTAAATAAAAATTTTAAATAAAAACTACTTACTAAAATTTGATTTTTCTAATTCATGAAGAGAAGAATTATTATTTAATAAAAGTTGGAATTAACATTTTTCCCCCTTGTTTTCTAACTATAGGGAGTGTGCAACAATCGATTAACCGCAAACAAAGCTGGAAAGGTTCTAAAGAGTCCTTAGTGCCTCAAAGACACGGCCCACCTCTAGGGGAAAGCGTGGTTTATCGTTCCGAAAGTCCCAGCTCACAGACAGATGTAGGAAGACCTTTGTCAGGATCTGGTGTAACAGCATTTGCTCAGGCTCACCCTAGCAATGGACAGAGAGTGAACCCCCCACCACCTCCTCAAGTAAGGAGTGTCACTCCTCCTCCACCTCCAAGAGGCCAGACTCCTCCTCCAAGAGGCACAACCCCACCTCCTCCCTCATGGGAGCCAAACCCGCAAACAAAGCGCTATTCTGGGAATGTGGACTTTGTCATCTCCAGAATCTCTCCTGTCCCACCTGGAGCCTGGCAGGAGGGCTATCCTCCACCACCTCTTACTACATCCCCAGTGAATCCTCCCAATCAGGGACAGAGAGGCATTAGTTCTGTCCCAGTTGGCAGACAACCAATCATCATGCAGAGTTCTAACAAATTTAACTTTCCACCAGGGAGACCTGGAATTCAGAATGGTAGTGGTCAGACTGATTTTATAATCCATCAAAATGTTCCTGCTGGGGCTGTAAATAGGCAGCCACCTCCTCCATATCCGCTCACCCCAACTAATGGACAAAGCCCTTCTTTACAAACAGGGGGCTCTGCTGCTCCTTCATCATACACAAATGGAAATATCCCTCAGTCTGTGATGGTGCCAAACAGAAACAGTCACAACATGGAACTTTATAACATTAATGTATCTGGACTTCAAACAACGTGGCCTCAGTCATCATCTGCTCCAACCCAGTCATCCCCGAGCAGTGCACATGAAATCCCTACATGGCAGCCTAACATACCAGTGAGGTCAAATTCTTTTAATAACCCACTAGGAAACAGAACAAGTCATTCCACTAATTCTCAGCCTTCAGCTACAACAGTCACTGCTATTACTCCAGCTCCCATTCAGCAGCCTGTGAAAAGCATACGTGTGTTAAAACCAGAGCTCCAGACTGCTTTAGCGCCCACCCACCCTTCTTGGATGCCACAGCCAGTTCAAACTGTTCAACCTAGTCCTTTTTCTGAGGGTGCCACATCAAATTTGACTGTTATGCCACCTGTTGCTGAAGCCCCAAACTATCAAGGTCCTCCACCACCTTATCCAAAACATCTTCTACACCAGAATGCATCTGTTCCTCTCTATGAGCCCATAAATAAACTGAGCAAAGAGGATCAGCCAAGCTTGCCCAAGGAAGATGAGGGTGAAAAAAGTTACGAAAATGTTGATAATGGGGATAAAGAAAAGAAACAGATCACAACATCACCTATCACTGTTAGGAAAAACAAGAAAGATGAAGAGCGAAGAGAATCTCGTATTCAAAGTTATTCTCCTCAGGCATTTAAATTCTTTATGGAGCAACATGTAGAAAATGTACTCAAGTCCCATCAGCAACGTCTGCATCGTAAAAAGCAATTAGAGAATGAAATGATGCGGGTAAAACATTTTAAAGTGTCCATGTTATACTTGCTCATCTGTTTACTTGGTGTTTATTTTAAAATAGCAAGCTCCGGTATTTTACTTTTTATATCTAAATATACTTTTAGTTATTTACAAGTCAGTAAACTTGAAAGTACCTTTGATTAAAATAACTTTTTGATATTTCAGGAATTAGATATTCCTGTAATAGAGTAACAAATTAAGAAAAGTGTAATTTACGGTTTATAATTTTATAATTTATAGGTCTGTCTATAATTTACGGTTTATAATTTAGGTGTGCATAATCCCTATATATTGAAACCAGAGCAAGGGTTATTTTCTAGGTCTTACACATTGTCCTATAGTATTTTTAAATAAGCTAGAAATATCTGGGTCTTATCACTTGAAACACTTGTGAAACACTTTTACTTAAAAATATTTTTGGGGCTGGGAGTTTATTCATTACATTTGTCTTAGTACAAAGTGTCTTACATCTCTTTTTGGTTGTATCCCCTTCTAATTTCATTTTTATAATGTACTAGAAAAATGTGCTAAAATTATAAATCAGTCTACTAAAAGACATCACAATAAGTAAATAACTAAGTTTAGTTTATTCTCTGTTGTGAATCCATATATATCTCTTCATTAGATGTTATGATGTTATGATGGTGTCATTATGATTTTTATCATATTTGATGAAAGCCAAAAGTTTGACTCATCTATCACTCCTAAGCCAAGAGCTTATATTTGTGATGAAAACTTCCTCACTTGTAAAAAACCACATTTTTCCTAAATCTGATTTTTAATTACTATTCCTGCTATTCATTGAATTTTGTTAGATGAGAAGTACTTACGGTGCTCTATATGACTTACCCATATTTTAGCTGTTAGGGTTTCTACTAAGGTCTGTCTATATGTATTGTCTTAGTTTATTTTTCCTTTTTCCTCTTCACTTTCACTAATAGCTGATTTAAACTTTTATGGTGTTGGAAGCTTTGCTGACTTCTGTAGCCTCCATTACTGTGTAGGCAAGTAAGATTTTAAGAGAAACGGTTCTATACTCAGTCTGGCATGCCACCCTTCTTGACATAAAGATTTTGCATGCAGATGCGCATCCTAACAGAAGCATGAGGTTGCTTTATTTTAATTAGTCTTGCATTTTTATTACTAGAATCTTCTTCCCAAATAAAATTCTTTTTCTGTTAAAAATCCTTAAATTAGTTCTTAATTTATTAGCCAAAATTAAACATTTCCAGTCTTTTAAATCCAGAGATTCCATGTCTTCTTAGAAGTTGGTCTTGTTTTTTTTTCTGTGTTTTGGTATCTTACATTTACTAGTCTTTGAACTGTTCCAAAATACCTAAAAGATACCTTGTAATCAGGGTAGCCCCGAATGACCTAGGGGCTAAGTCTCAGCACTATCACGACTATGGCTTGAGTTCTAGTCCCAGCCATGGAGGTGACCCATATACGGTGCAGCAGACCTGTCTGCTGATCCCCTCAGCAGTGTATTTCAGTAAATCTGCCTGTTCTGCTCCTCACTTTGTCTCTGGCAAATACCCTCCACACACACACCTATGGCCCACCACCCCAGTTCTTCTTTGTGCAAATAATAAAAAAAAAAAAAGCCTACCTTGTAATCAAACAAGTTGTCCCTTTAAAATAAGGTAGAAAAAAATGAAAGAATGTTTGAGGCCCAGCATTCCACAGAGAGAAGCATATAATGAAGGCAATATAACCAAGCAATTTGGGGTGAATATACATATGGAGATAGATGAGGGTGCATGTTAATAGGTGTTTGGCTATTGCACATTGGAAATTTTTTGGGATTGCCTTGCAGAGGAGTGGGAAATTGACCTTTGGTCTCTTCTTGCTTTTCTCCAGCAGTATCTGCATATATACTCACCCTGTATATCTTGTTAACTCCCTTAAAGTGCACTTCTGATAATTTTCTCTGAAATATATTCTAGAGTTCTAACATGCTTTTTAAAAATTACTATGCATTTAACCATTAAATATATGCCTGAATTTTTTCCAAGCTATTTCTTAATATTTCGTATAGCAGATAATTCTTCATATAATATTTAGTTTATTTGTCTAGGTTGGATTATCTCAAGATGCCCAGGATCAAATGAGAAAGATGCTTTGCCAAAAAGAGTCTAATTACATCCGTCTTAAGAGGGCTAAAATGGACAAGTCTATGTTTGTGAAGATAAAGACACTAGGAATAGGAGCATTTGGTGAAGTCTGTCTAGCAAGAAAAGTAGATACTAAGGCTTTATATGCTACAAAAACGCTTCGAAAGAAAGATGTTCTACTTCGAAATCAAGTTGCTCATGTTAAAGCTGAAAGAGATATCCTGGCCGAAGCTGACAATGAATGGGTAGTTCGTCTCTATTATTCTTTCCAAGATAAAGACAATTTATACTTTGTAATGGACTATATTCCTGGAGGTGATATGATGAGTCTATTAATCAGAATGGGAATCTTTCCAGAAAATTTGGCACGATTCTACATAGCAGAACTTACCTGTGCAGTTGAAAGTGTCCATAAAATGGGTTTTATTCATAGAGATATTAAGCCTGATAACATTTTGATTGATCGTGATGGTCATATTAAACTGACTGACTTCGGCCTCTGCACTGGTTTCAGATGGACACATGATTCTAAGTACTATCAGAGTGGTGAGTAAAATGATAAAATTTGCGCTACATACCAATGTGATTTCTTTTTTTAAAGATTTATTCATTTATGCATACAGAACTGGGGTACAAGCCAGAGGTGCAGGGGTGGTGAGAGGATTCACCAGAGACAGAGTGGGCAGCAGAATAGGCTGATTGAGGAAGTACGCTGCTGAGGGGAGCAGCTGGCATGCCAGGAGAGGTCTGCCACGCCATGTGGGTCATCCCGGGGGCCAGAGATCGAACCCGTGCTGAAGTGGCTGTAGCCTTTCAGCGCTGCATTTACTTATTGTGCCACCAGGGAGTGCCCCCAATGTGATTTCTTAATGCAATAAAGTATAAGATGCAGTTACCACTGGTGGGGAGCAAGAAGTCCTGGTTCCGGTCTCAAGGTATAGATAGGATGAATGTGAGTGAATCCTTTAGATACTTTAAATAATTAGAGTGTGTAAGAGCCAAATATTTCTCAATATTATTATTAACATTTTTCTGTTAATTTTTTATTTTTTGTTAATTTGAAATGTGTCTGGCAAATAACATTTTAAATGATTTTTAAACGACACCCCATACCCACCATTCGGTTTAAGAACTAGATAATCAGTGTTTCTGAAGTGCTTCACTATCATTTCCCCTTTCCCTCCACACAGGGAACCTTTATTTTACAACTTTATAATCAGTTCTTTCCTCTATACTTCTCCCACATGCTACATATATGCTATTTCATTTTGCCTATGCTTAAACTTTCATTTAAATTTAACCGTTGTATATATGTTCTCCTGTTTTAGACAATTCATTTTATGTTTGATAGTCATCATTTTTATTGCAGATAACATTTTCACTGCTATTTAGAATTCCATTGCATGATTACCCCACACCTTACTTAGCCTTAAAAATTTTATATACTTGATTCTGTTTAACCCTTACAATGTCTTTGTGAGGGCACATGAAGAAACTGACGCTTAATTATCCAGGGTCAGACAGAAGATAAGTGTAAGGGGTAGGCTTTGAATCCAGGTTTGTTTGATTACAGGGCTCATGTTATTTCTGCTATACCACACTGCCTCACCAAGATCCCTTCAAGCCCTAATGGAAGTGTAAGTCATTACAATCTAACATTTGTGGAATACTTACTATGACCTGGTGCTTTACATATATTCACAGTTAATGCTCACAATCCTCCTCTGAGGTATTATTAGTTTCCTTAACTTCTGTGAACACTTTATGTACACTGACATAAAGTGAACTGAGACCTGAACCTGCTTTAATGTTCAGTGTGAGGTAACTTAGTGTTTCCCTATATTCAACCAAATTGCTTGGGCTTCTTAAAAATAAGATTCTTAAGCTGTACTCTAGTCTTCTGATTGGAAATATTCGCTGGAGTGTAGAGATTCCATGTTAATCAAACATGCCAGCTGATTATTACATACAGTTCAGTTAATTACATACTTATTTTGTTAGGTGATTTCTTCCAGTCATAGTTTGAAATACCATCTCTGTGTCAGTGACTTCCAAGTCTCTGCTTTCAGAAATGGCCTGTTTCACATGAATTTCTAAAAAGCTTTTCATATGTGACATTGTCAATAAACAACTCTTAATTTCTCTCTTCTATATTTGCAAATTTCTAGTTACTCCCCCTTCAGTATTCCCCATTTTAGTGATGAACTGCACTATTAGTACCCTTCTAGTTAACCTTGCTTCTTCTTTTGCCCATACTCTCCACTCAGTCCTTCTGTAATTCCTGCTTATTCAACCTCAAAATACATCCTGAATCACTTCTCTGCATCTCCACTGTACTATCATAGTCCAGGCTTAACTGTAGTAACCTCTTAACTGGTCTCTTTCTCACTTCCTTGTAATCTATTCTTCACACAGCAGTCTTTTTTAAACATAAATCAAATCTTACCTTCATCTTGCCTTGTGCTTTCCAATATCTTTCTGCTCTACTTGTAGTCAAAGACAAGCCATTCATTGCTACAAAACCCACGTGTACTGACTCCTTTTCCTAATTTTACTAATCAAGCTGATCTCCTGCTATTGTTTCTGTGTGGGATGTTTTGCCCCAATTTTCAAATAATGGTTTTTTTACAGATACCATCTTAGCCTGCCCAAGTCACTCTAGTGCATCACACCATGTTGATTTTTCTGAGTGAGACGCTTCATTGTGTTTCTTGTATATTTTGTTGTGTGTCTTCCCTTGCTGAAAAGCTGCATGAAAGAAGATCTTTCTTATTTATCATTATCATTTGTTGAATAAATGAAAGAAACATGGAGCTAAATTTGCTTCAGAGTTTGTTCAGAGTAGCAGTATGCAGCAGCCAGAATAACAAATTCTCTGTGCTACCTCCTCATGACTTCTACTGAATTTTAAGCTAATTTTCCTTAATGTAAAACATTTTTTGTTGGTATCTCAGAGTTCAGGTCATAATCAATAGTAAATGACATGACTGATTTGACATGTTTTATGTCCTTAGCTTGTTAGCAAAACCATAATGACAGATGACTAAACAGACTTTAGGTTGACTTTCGTCTTGTTGCTTTTACTTATTCTTTTCTTTTACTCTACAGGTGATCACCCACGGCAAGATAGTATGGATTTCAGTAATGAATGGGGTGACCCCTCTAATTGTCGATGTGGAGATAGACTGAAGCCATTAGAGCGGAGAGCTGCACGCCAGCACCAGCGATGTCTAGCACATTCTTTGGTTGGGACTCCCAATTATATTGCCCCTGAAGTACTATTACGAACAGGTAAAACTTTTGTTTCATAAGTAATCTCAATGAGCCTTTAGACCAACTAGAATTTATACTAGTACATGCATTATGTTTTAAATTTACTTTTTATTTGTTAATATTATTTATTTTTGCATAAGAACTGGGTTGTAGGCCAGAGGTACAGGGGCCCAGGAGGTGAAAAGATTCACCAGAGATAGAATGGAGAGCAGAACAATGGAGAGCAGTGGGTGAGACAGGAGAGATCTGCTGAGGCATACGTGGGTCAGCTCCCTGTCTAGGGGAACTCAGGTTGTAGAGTTGATAGTGCTGAGTCTAGGTCACCAGGGAGGCCCTGTTTTATATTTATAATAAAAGCATTACTTTTGTAGTATAAATTGGTTATGAATTGATTTTCAGTATAGTAATTCTTGAGCATTCTTTTGAAATTGCTTACAAATAACTAACTTTGGTATCTTATTTTAGGCTACACACAGTTATGTGACTGGTGGAGTGTTGGTGTAATTCTTTTTGAAATGTTGGTGGGACAACCTCCTTTCTTGGCACAAACACCATTAGAAACACAAATGAAGGTAAGGTATAGAATTTATACCAAAAGAATTGTTATAGGTTCCTATACTGGATCTTCATCAGTACTTAGAATAGAGTATCTTAATCTAGAAGTAAGAAATGAGTTTGTAAAGATATAGGAACCCACTTAAGTTTCATAAATGAACTATAACTCATTCCACTGTCATCATACTCTTATATCACAAATACACCATACTTATATTTCATTCTCCTGTCTTACACATTCTGAAGGTTTATTCTAGTTGACTGTTACTCACAGCCTCTTGGCTTTATTTCCTTCCATGTACATTCAAACCCTTAACAAAATTGTCTGTTTCTCCACTTGTGATTACCTCTGGCATTTAAGGGAGAAGCTCCACAGTTTTGAGTATACACTGTCCTGTTAAAAGAGGGTTTCATGAGAAAAGAACTAGATGTCTGTACTTACATGTTTGCCCTGAATATAGGTGGGTTTCTACAGTAGTAAGGTTTTGTCTGGAGATAACCCTAAACCTGGGTAACATCCTCACATTTTCATTCTCCTAAGTCATTAAAGGGCTGGTAAGTTGCTCTTCAGTCTTCAGGGCCTTGATTGATTAACTCAAAATAACCTACATGCTGAAGTGGTATGTTTGGGGAAGACCTGTCCTTTAAAACCATATTGTTTTTTTAACTATTAAAAAACATTTATTTCTGGGCCCTTCTTGGTGGTGCAACCAGTTAACGCGCAACACTATGAAGCTAGCCATAGCAACTACAGCACAAGTTCGAACCCTTGCCTGGGAGGTGACACACATGCTGTGACAGAGCTCTCCTGTCTCACCCACTGCTCCCCTCAGCAGTGTACTTCAGTCTGCCTGTTCTGACCACTCTGTTTCTAGTGAATCCTCTCACCCCCTACACCTCTTAGCTCTGGTATGAATAAATAAATCTTTAAAAAAAGAAAACACACACTTCTTTATCTGAGTAAATATACTTTCTCTAAAGAGAGGAAAAATAAAATTGACCTTTTGCTCACATCTAGATCAATGTAGAACCCCACTACCATATAGATATGTAATTCTCTACCTTTATGTTGTAGTTAATGTGCATATATATTTATAACCTTATTTAACAACATTACAGCTTTTGTTTTTGACCATTTATTTTAAAGGACTCAAGGCGGAGTAGTCATATTGATCTAGATATTTAGCATTTTTCTTTCTCTTCTTGGATCCTTGATGTTTCAAGATGTCTTCTGAATCTTCAAGTTTAATTTTATCTTTTGACAGCTCCATTCTGCTACTGAATCCATTCATTTAACTTTTATTTTCATGATAGAGTTTTCAGTTCTAAAATTTCCATATACTATCTCTTCATATCTTCAGTTTCTTTTTTTATTTTATTTATTTATGCATACAGAACTGGGGTATAGGCTAGAGGTGCAGGGTCAGTGATTGCATTCACCAGAGACAGAGTGGGGAGCAGAACAGGCAGATGGACTGAAATACACTGCTGAGAAGAGCAGTGGGCAGGTCAGGAGAGGTCTGCTACACCATGAGGATCATCGAACTCGTGCAAAAGTGGCTTTAGCTTTGTAGTGCTATGCTTTAACCCTCTGTACCACCAGGGAGGGTCCCATATCTTCAGTTTCTTTGCTGAAAATATCTTTTGAAGATTTTTGTTCCTTATTTGAAATATTTCTGTAATGGCTACTTAAAACTATTTGTCAAATACTTTTGTAATAGCTGTGTCATCACACCACTCACTGATGTTTGTCGTCTTCACATGAGTCAGAACTTCTGTGATTCTTTTTCTGCCAAGTAATCTTTGGTTGTGTCCTGGACATTTTGGATGTTAAGTTATGAAACTGGCTTTTTTGTTAAAACTTATGGAGAATATTGATATTGTTTTGGTAGGGATTAAACCTGATTAAATTCTGAGCACACATTCTAACCAGCCTTTAGTGACTTGTGAATTCAATATGAGTTTCATTTTCAAAATCTTTGAATAAACAGATCTCTCCCTGGGCTGTTGTCTGTCTCTTAGTTCAGTTCTCTAAATTTTTTATATGTTCTTTAAGGTAAGATCTACACATGTACAGTTTGGGGGTAACCTTGCAGTACATTAACTATTTTATGAATTAAATTTTCCAAGCTGCTCTTTCCCTGCTGGTGCTTTCCAGTTCCTTTCACTCCCCTTTCAGTTCTTTAATGAGTATTTGAAGTTTTATTTACCCTCTTCTGCCATACACAATTTCATGCCTGCATTTGCATCCAGCAAAGTGGTAAAAGGACAGATTAAGCAGCCGGAATTTGATCCACCCTGTCGGAGACTGCATGTTTTATGATTTAATATCCAGTTGGAGAAGGTGGTTCCCTGTGTTTGAGTTGGAGATGGCTCTTCTACCTCTGTAGCTGCCTTCCAGTACCTTTCCCACGTAGGCGTTATAGTTCAGGACTACGAAGCTACTGCAGCCAAGGCAGCATGAATTTGATCCCTAGAGGGAACTGACCCACATGGTGCAGCAGACCTTTCCTGTCTCACCCACTGCTCCCCTCAGCAGTCTGGTGTTTCAGTCAGTCTGCCTTTTCTGTTTTCCAGTCTGTGTCTGGTGAATCCTCTCACACACATACCCCCCCACACACACACCGCTGGCCTGTACCCCAGATCTTGTATACATAAATAAATAAACCTTTCAAAATAAATCTTTAACCTGGCACAGCAGATTAAAGCACACTATGAAGCTATTGCAGCCACTACAACACGAGTTCAATCCCTGGCCAGGGAGGTGACCCACATGGCATGGCAGGCCTCTCCTGACCTGCCTGCTGCTCCCCTCAGCGGTGTATTTCAGTCAGTCCTCCTGTTCTGCTCCCTATTTTGTCTCTAGTGAATCCTTTCACTCCCCCACACCTCTGGCCTCTTCCCCAGTTTTTTATGCATAAATTTAAAAAAAAAAATAAAATAATTTAAAAAATACCTTTCCCACTCCTGTAGAGGGTTTTTTTCTGGAGCCCCCTCAGGCTGTGCTGTATACCTCCCCAGAGTTTGGGCTATTGAAAATCTAGGTCAGGAAAAAATTGGTAAAATCATCTAGGTTCTGTAGTGTCAAATCTTATCTTCTTCTATAATCTGCCAGTTACTGTTTACTTTGAGTCACTACTTCCAGCATTCTGTTCAGGTTGTCTAGCTCCCCTGAGTAGATAAGACAGGGTATATCCACCACATTTTAGACTGGACCCTCTCTCTCAGCCGGCTGTGAGGGTTTTTTTTGTTTGTTTGTTTAATTTTGGTCTTCTGCTATTTGATCACATGTCTGTTAAGTTTCTTATATTCCTTGATAGTGATTCACAAAGCTTCTTGGGATTTAGGTTGGTGACTTTCATCAATTTTGGAAAATTCCCTGCTTGATTTCAAGATTTCTTTTGTTTCCTTCCTTCTAGAACTCCAGTTAGTATACATTTGGAGAGAAGTTTTATGTTATTCTATATAACCCTTCTTTTTTGTATATTTTTTTCTTTTTGTGCTTCAGTTTATAGTTTAGTTTTCTTTTTGTGCTTCAGTTTAGTTTCTTTTGTTCCATCTTTGAATTAATTGTTCTTACTATTTTATTGTGCCTTGGGTTTTTTTGTTTGCTTGTTTGTTTTTGTTTGTATTTTTAACTTAAACAGAAAAAATCCTAAATGTCACTTAACAATAAAAAGTGAAAAACCAGAATCTCCCTGGTGGTGCAGGGGTTAAAGTCTCAGTGCTATTAAGCTGTTGGCAGCCACTGCCAACAGTGCATTCAACCTCTGGACAGAGGTGAGTTCAACCTCTGGACAGTATGAGTTCAACCTCTGGACAGAGAGCTGACCCATGACCCACATGGTGCAGCAGACCTCTCCTGTCTCCCTGCTGCTCCCCTAAGGAGTGTTTTTCAAGAGATCTGCCTGTGCTGCTCCCCATTCTCTCTCTGATGAATCCACTCACTCCCATGCCTCTGGCTTACATCCCACTTCTTGTATGCATAAATAAATAAAAATAAGTATTTTTTTAAACATTGATTTATTTATGCATACAGAACTGAGGTATAGGCCAGAGGTGCAAGAAGCAGTAAGTGGATTCACCAGAGACAGAGTGGGGAGCAGGACAGGCAGATTAATGATGTACACTGCTGAGGGGAGCAGCAGGTGAGGCAGGAGAGGTGTGCCGCGCCATATGGGTCACCTCCCAGGCTAGCTCGTTGAAGCTAGCTGTGAAGCTAGCTTCACAGTGCTGTACTAACACGCTGTGCTACCAGGGAGGGCCCTAAAAATAAATCTTTTAAAAAAAATAAAAGTGAAAAACTCTTCCAACTGACTGTATATTTTCATTCTCCTATTTGAAATTGGTAGTGGATTGAGGAATAAATAACTATTATATTGTGGTATTTTTTCCCAAAGTTTTTGAAAGAAATATTTTCTTATTAGTTGGTATTATCTCCATTTTCTAATTTAGGGAAAGACCGTAAGATGAACAGGTACTAGGAGAAGGAACTATTTCTCTCCCTTCTGCTGTAGCTGGAAAAAAAAAGTGGAGTAGGGTTCATTTATTCATTTATTTGAACAACTATTTATTGACTCCCTATTACTTTTCCTTCTTTTCCTTCCCTTGCTCATTCCATTTTATTCAAAACCAGAATAAATGTTTATTGAATATCTGTTAATTATGTGAGCACTTTGCCAAACACTGGGAAACAGCAAAGACAAAGCATAACCTATCGCCTTAAGGAATTTCATGCTGTATCAGGAGAACATAGGCATAAATGGGTGCCATTGCATATTAGAGCCATGATGTAGAAGTAAACCTGACAGGAGGCACAGTGGAAATAGCCGTTGCTAACATAGTTAGAAGGGCTTAATTGGGAGCTAAATTTTACAGTGACTCTTGTAAGATAAGCATAAGATGCTTAGAGAGCAGGGGATGGAAGTAAAGCTTATTTCCCGTCTGTGATTCATTATTAAAAGTAAGACTTTTTGGTATAAAATTTGGAAGAAATTGCTTTTATCTCATCTCTGCTAATTAAAAAAATTTTTTCTTTAAAGGTTATCAACTGGCAAACATCTCTTCACATTCCATCACAAGCTAAACTGAGTCCTGAAGCCTCTGATCTTATCGTCAAGCTTTGCCGCGGACCAGAAGATCGCTTAGGCAAAAATGGTGCTGATGAAATAAAAGCACACCCATTCTTTAAAGCAATTGATTTCTCCAGTGACCTTAGACAGCAGTCTGCTTCATACATTCCTAAAATCACACACCCAACAGATACATCAAACTTTGATCCTGTTGATCCTGATAAGTTATGGAGTGATGATAATGAGGAAGAAAATATAAACGACACTCTCAATGGATGGTATAAAAATGGAAAGCACCCTGAACATGCTTTCTATGAATTCACTTTTCGGAGGTTTTTTGATGACAATGGCTACCCTTATAATTATCCAAAGCCTATTGAATACGAATATATTAACTCACAAGGCTCAGAGCAACAGTCAGATGAAGACGATCAGGACACAGGCGCAGAGATCAAAAATATTGATTTAGTTTATGTTTAATACACTAAAAAGTAATTGTGATGAGGATTTGCAAAAAGGCCTGAAACCCAGGGTTTTTTGAGGCTATGAGAGTAAAGTTATGAGAGTAAAGTTATGCAAATGAAACAGAGCTATGTATGTGTGCTCTGTGTACAATAGTTTATATTCCTAAATTATGGGAAATCCTTTAAAAATGTTAAGTTATTCCAGCTTTTTAAATCAGTAATTTAGAAAAAAAAATTGTTATAAAGAAAATAAATTATGAACTGAGTATTATAATCAGTTCTTGGTACTTAAAGTACTTTAAAATAGTGCTTTGTTTAAAAGGAGAAGTCTGGTATCTATTTGTACATATGCTAAATAATTTTTAAAAGACTGAGTTTTTGAAATTTGCCTGAAAGACAGTTTTAGTTTTACCTTGCTTTAACCAAATATGAAACATACCCCATATTTACAGAGCTCTTCCTCCTACTCCCACACTTTGTTTTTGATACAGAGTCAGCTATAAAAATTAAAACATCCTGACGGTAACTATTCCTTGGCTAATGATAATCTTTGTAATTCACAACTTGAAACCAAGAAATCCAGGGTTGAAACTTATGTTCATCAGAAGGAAAAATAATGTAGAATATTTAGTAATCTAGTATATATTTCTTCAGAGTTACTGACTTTAAAAGAAGCAAAGCACTCCCAGTTTTCTTTGCCATGTTGATATTTTAATGCTGCTTCCTGTTTTAAAAAGGAAAAATCTCCCCTAAATAAAAATTTGATACTAAAAGCGAAGATCTTTAATATTTCTACTTGGAAATTAAAAACATGAAAACAAAAAACTTCACCATCCTAAGCAGAAATAATATTTTAGTTTCATATGAAACTTTGATTAGAATTATTTGTAGGTAGTCGCTAAAAAAATGTTTTACCTATATAGCGACAGTTTTGTCAGTAATGTTACAGTCCCCTCTTTCTGAACAGTGCTGCATACATGGAAAATCTGGCTATTTGGCAGTATTTTACCAAAGTGCAGATTAATTGGTGAAGAAATAGTTAACTCTTAATTAAGGTAGCCATTATTTAATTAGGAGAATTGCTTAGCGGTCTTAGAAAATCAAAATCCTTCTAAGTAATTTAAGGTTAAATAATGTTTTCCAGCATGCCTATTATATATAATGCTTAGGGCTCAAGGAAACTCATGGGTTTCTAAAATAACACTAGGCATATCTTTTGGGAAGGCAGGGGAAGGGCTCTGACACCAGTAAAATTTGTATTAATACAAATTTCTTTTTTGTATTTGTACCAGTTTGTAAGGAAATACAAACATAGTTCCTTAAGCTCCACTGTAGAGAATTATTTCATCAAAATATTTTTTTGTGGAAAAAGAGGATAATTTTAGTGATCTTCCAGGCTTTTAGCTTTCTTGATTAAAAGTTAACAGAAACCAGAGATTTAAGTAAAGTTAAAGGCAAAAGTATCTCGATTGAAGTGGGGGGAGGGAAAGGTTTGTATTAGCCCACATGCCCCACTTTCCTGAAAGAGGCCCTCTCAGCTCAGCTTGTAAACAACACTGCATAGCCTATAGTTGTAATGATGGGTGTTTGGGTCATTAACCCTTTTAGAATCTGATGAAAAATGTCAGCTCTTCCAAGAAAACTATGTATTAACAGATACATATCAATTATTGCATGCAGTTTTAGGGATCCTGGATGCATTGAAACTTGTTACAAAGTAAGAAATGTGCTTTAAATGTATGGCTCACTACTCAGATCGACACATCTTGTGTAAACACTGATGATTTGTGATGGAAAGGTTCTGTATAAGACATCCCTGTGAATGCCTGTTTCTTCTGTTCATGTCTGTTAAAATCGTTAAGTTCTTTGCTGCAAGCATTTCATCACAAGTATTTTTGCCATATAACTAATTTTGCTATAAAATTTTGCTGTAAAAAATAACTGGTTGACAGTTTGGGTTCAGGTTTGTTCTATACAGAGAGTAAGTAGATGTGCTGATCTTAAAGTACTGGATGTTAGCAACTATATAAGTTGACTTCATAGAAAATACAGCAGTAAAACTTAACAAAGTATGACACAGTATAAAGGTAGGTTGCATTCTCTCATAGGTAACATGTGTATACAAATGTATATATGTGAGTATACATATTTACAACCATGCTTTGTATCATTATGAAAGTGTAGGCTGTTGTTTGTTCTTGGCATAACAACACATGTGCGTTGATAGGTATTTCAAAGTAGATGTGAAATGTGGGTTCAACTTTGGACCTTCAAAGCTCTTCTAAGCCTTTCCTGCAATGAAGAGTGTTTCAAACTAAAACCAGTTCTCTTGAGGTAAATGATGGTCAACTGTCAGCTCAGTAAAGCTATCAATAACACCACTAACTGGAAGAAAATCTAGTACTGTCGTACATTTAACCTTTGTTTTAAATTTATCCGTTAATTTAGTTGTTAAAGCTATTGTATCTACATTAGGTAAAGAATTGATAATACTCTTTAAGATTTGAGTTACACCCATCTCTTTTCTACTTGCCATAGCTTGGCAAACTTGGTTTTGATGGGTAGCAATGACTGCTTACCAAATGACTAGCATAGTGGTATGTTCTTTTCCCAGTAAGTTTTATCATATTTTCTAATCTAGTCGATAAATCCTAGTTATCCACTATTTTTAGATTATCGTGTCTGTATCACTGTATAGCTTATTACGAAGGCTAAGATTTATATACTGTAAAAATGAGAGAATTTTGCCAGCTGAAACCAAACACAACCTGTTATTTTATCTGTTTTTATAGCACAATTGTGACCAGTTAGGTATTTGGAGAAAATACTATGGCAAAGAACTTACTCAAATCTACCTGTAATCCTTGCTGGTACAGTACTAACATAATTTAAATTCAGCCTTGGGAGGGTGCGGAAATACATGTTTGGCCTGAATGGGCTTGATAGAGGAATACTCTGAATTTCTAATCAGAGAATTATAAGAAAATGCACTGTAATGAGATGGCAGTCTTCATGGAACATCCTATGCAAAACGAAATCAAGAAATTTTAATTTCAAAACATTTTTAAACTATCTTGCTCTTCAGACTTTGTCAGAGTTGTTTCCATTTAGTTGTTTTACTTCTGGATATGGTGCAATACAGTATAAGAACCAACTTGTTACACTTATGTCTTAGGAAAACTAAGGTGCTTTCTCTGTTGCCCATATGCCTCAGATATAGCAGACACTACAAATTTTGTTTTCTTTCAAAATTTCCTCTTAACAGTGTAAGCTTTTGTACAGCCTTTAGTAACTGCAGTTTTAATAGTTTGGATATGCTGTTTTTTGTCTTCTTACTCCCAGACTATATTCAGTTCTTCCACTATAGAACTTGCTTTGTTCAGACCCACTAAGATGAAGACAACATCAAGAGTCTGTGTTCTCAACTGAAATGGAGTGAAAACATTTGTTACATGTTTTCTTTTAAAAATAATGTTCCCACTCATTAAAAAACTTGCTGTCTTTCTTAAACCCCTTTTACGCTTATTAATTGTATTTATAAAATGTGTTCTATAATTATGTAACTGTAGATACTGTTATGTATTGTCCAGTGACATTCTAAGGCAGGCCCTATTGCTGTATCTTTTCTACCTTATTTGTAATAGAAACTATAGAATGTATGACTAAGAAGTCACTTTGAGATTGACTTTTTAAAAAAGTTATCTTCTGCTGTTGCAAAGTGCAAAACTGTGAGTGGAAATATTTTATTCTGACTAAATAATATGTTAGAAATTAGAGATTACAGTGGGAGGATTTTTAGTTATTGCTGCTGCTGTTACCTAAGGTACTTTAGAAATTTCTCTTTAATAAACAAAGATTAAAATCCCTTTGGTATTTAAAGTGAAACACTTAACCTGTTTGTTTTAATCTAAAACAAAAAGTAATTTGGGTCAACATATTGGTCTATTTGTAAAGCGCCTTAATATTTCCCTATGTGGAAGGCACTATACCACAGTTTACTTTTATATTGTATTATGTATATAAGTATTTTGTATTAAAGTTGAATCAGTGACAACACTACAGTTTTATAAAATAACGCTTTGTTAGGAAAAGGAATTACAGCTTTGCAATATAACTAAATTGTTTTGCATACTTCTGAATGTAATAGTTAAGAATAATCAGCCTGTGTTTTTAATGACTCTTATTTGTATTTTCCCATCATTTTCTCTAGTGTAACATTTGCTGGGATAATTAAAAAAAAATTCAACTTCAATATGTGTGGAAAGCTGACTTTTAAGTCACTTAAATATATTGATTTTTTCTTTCAAAATTTTATTTCAACCTTTTTATTTTCAGAGAAAATTTGCAGTTAAAAAGTGGATTCCTTGGAATTAAAATATTACCTTCTTAGAGTAATATGAGCTGAATAGATTTAGTGTAACCACATAAAGTGCTTTCTTTTTAATATAAGTATACTATTTTATGTTAAAGTCTTCATTTTAGATCAGCACAGATTTAAAGCTTTTTTTTTTTTTAAAGATTTATTTATTTGTGCATACAGAACTGGGGTACAGGCCAGAGGCCCAGGGGCGGCGAGAGGCTCCACCAGAGACAGAGTGGGGAGCAGAACAGGCAGATCAACGAAGTACACTGCTGGGGGAGCAGCGGGCGGGCAAGGAGAGGTCTGCCACGCCATGAGAGCACCTCCGGGGCAGGTGGGAATTGAACCCATGCGGAAGGGGCCTCAGCCTCTCAGTGCTGTGCTTCAACCCGCTGCGCCACCAGGGAGGGCCCCGATTTAAAGCTTTTTAATGATTTAACTCCACATTTAGTATTACTTTAGTCCCGTTTATAATTTATTTAAATTTGAGGTTGGTTAATCATTTTCCTTTATTTGCAAGTATCACATGAACTACCAGATAAGATAATATTTATCTAAATCAACTTTGCACAAATAAATACCAAGGGCTTTTGCCCCTTTCTTCCAAGTATTTCATCATTCTGAGATTTCCTTTTATCTTTTTACTTGGGACTCTTTTACAATAGGTGATTCTGGAAATAATACAGTGTCTGATGGAGATGACAAAGGGAAAAGTCCATAAACCTCAAAGATGATAAGTAGAAATTTTACAATTTGAAGAATAAAGAAAAAAAGATTGGAAATGAACAAAATCTCAAGGATATTTGAAACAAAAATCTAAAGATAGAGCCCTCCTTGGTGGCACAACAGGTTAAAGCCCAGCATTATGAAGCTATTACAGCCACAGCACAAATTTGATTCCCTACTGGGGAGGTGACCCACATAGCACAGCAGGCCACTCCTGTCCCCATTGCTCCCCTCAGCAGTGGATTTCAGTACATCTGCCTGTTTTGCTCCTCACTCTTGTCTCTGGTGCATCTTCTCACCCCTGGCACCTCTGGCCTGTACCCCAATTCTGTATACATAAATAAATAAATCTTTAAAGATACAGGATGCATATGTTTGTTATGTATACCTCTTTTCCCAGTTAAGAGAAAATAGGGCAGAAAAGTCTTTTAATAAAATATTGGTCCCACATTTTCTAAATTTGGTGATAAAAGTTAACAGGTTCAAGAAACTCAAAACACCCATCAGACGGAAAGAAGGGAAATCCAAAGACCATGTAAGACACAAAAATTACAACGGTAGAGAAAAAATTACCCTATGACACCCACAGCTACAGCAGACAATAACATCTTAGTTCCTAGCCAAATAAATATAAACCTTTAAAGATCTATTTACTTCAGCTCCCTTAGTTTTCAACAAAAAACTAATTCAAATAAAAAAATAATAATTTCAACAACAAAGTATTGTAAAAGGCAAAAACAAAAATTCCTCATAACCTGAGAGAAAGCAAGCATGAGGACAAGACTCAGATACAATATCAACTTTAAAATAATCAGACCAGGAATTTTAAGTAGTATGATTAGGACGCTAGGGGGAGAAATGCACAATATCAGAAAAAGATGGGTAAGGTAAGCAGAAAGATGTGAACGCTTGAGTCAAAGGAAATTCTAGAAATAAAAAGCACTGTAACAAATGATGAATGTCTTGGGTGGGTCCATAACTGAAGAGGGCTAAGGAAAGAATCAGAGAACTTAAAGGTAAGTGGATGGATACTTTCCAAAGTGAAGAGCAAGCAGTTGTTCTTTAAGACTGCCCACCTAGGTCTATGCAGGGTATCTCTCTTTCCCTTAAGTTTGTGATGAATGGAACATTTGTTGAAAAAAAAAAAAACAAGGAACACCAAAACTGAAGAGCTAATAGGGAAAAAACTATCTAAGAACAGGACAATTACACAAGGGGTTACATTGGCATAGTATCAGGAGAAAAACAAGAAATATTTGACTTAATAATGGCTAGGAATAGCCGAGGATTTTCTAAAATTAAATGACAGGCATTCAACGATTCATGGAACCCAGGGAATATTAGGGTAATACATTCAAACTACAGACAATCAGTCCTCCCTGGTGGCCTAGGGGTTAAGTCTGAGCACTATCAACTCTGCCTTGGGTTAGTTCCCCAGCCAGGGATCTGACTCACAGGGTGCCGCAGACCTCTCCTGTCTTGTTCACTCTCCCCTCAGCAGAGTATTTCAGGAAGGCCCCCTGGCCTGCTCCCCACTCTCTCCAGTGAAGCCTCCCTCATCCCCCTCTATCCCATCAGCACCTCTGGCACTACACAGGTGGTGGATAGAACTTCTTTGCTGACACTAAAGGCATAAACTTAAAATTGTGAGAAAGCTCATGAAAGTAACCTGGAAAAGCAGTACCTCTACCTGTTCAAGAAACTGAATTCAGTCCATGACCACATGAAGTCCCCTGTGACAAAATGTCTAGGTCAGAAAAAATACTGATCCATACTTCTCATTTTTTTAAGATTTATTTTGTTTAAATTTATGCATAGAAAAACTGGGGTGTGGTCCAGAGGTGTGGGGCTGATGGGCTTCACAGAGGCAGAATGAAACAGGCAGATCTACTGAAATAAACTGCTAAGGGAACAGTGGATGAACTACAAAAATATGCTGAGTATATGAAACCCTGTCTCAAAGATACATATTATATGATTGAACTAAATCAGATAAACAAGTGGGAAAAAAATTGGAACTAAGTTAATCTCCTAAACCATCTTTGGCAACCAATGACCACTATTAGTTTAGATGTTTTGCCCCTTCTAGAATTTCATAAAAATGGAATCATACAATATGTATACATTTTGTGCATTCTATTTGCTGACCATTATATACTGACAGTCTGGCATATAGTATTGTAATAGGGTGGTTCCCAGGAAAAGGGGAGGTTCCAGGTTCCCTGCCCCACCCAAAGGAGGGAGGAGCTGAGCAGGGAGGAGAATAATCTGGAGAAGAAAGGAAAGCGGGATCGAGAGCCAGGAGATCTGAGGGAGGCACATGGAGCACATGTGAAGAAGCAGCTCTTGTTTCTTGGCTGCGGCCTGGTTGGAATGAGAGACCCGTGAGAGACCCATCTCTCACCTGTGTGGGTGAGAGACCCGTGGGGGTGGGGTTCACTATGGCAGTGTTTATCTTGAATTTGATTTTGCTTTTTTCCCCCAGGACTGGTCTGGCCATTTCTGACCCTTTCCTATGGGTCCCGGCCAGAAAGTGCTTTAGACTTGTGGCAGCTTTCAGGCCTTGCTTTGGGCTCATCCCTTTGGGTGGACTTTTACCCATGAGGGGATGGGTAACTTGGGTGTTTGATTTAGAAACTATATTCTTTGTCTTTTCTGTATTGCACACTGATTGCACACTGTTCCTGTCCATGAAAGGTTTTATGTTTTGTCTTGATGCGATGGATGAAAGAACCCATTTTGAGCGGGCAGGCAAGTTTCAGGGTTCAGGGGTGTCCCCTCACTGCCCTATAACAGTAGTAACCCAATGAAACAACTGTGTAGTAAATGGATATATTTCCCTTGAATGCTGGGATTCTTTAACATTAGATAATTATCATGCACTCTTAAAGGAAAACATGTCTTAGATCTCCGCGCCACCTTAGGTGGAAGTAAAGGGTAGAGACAGACTGGAAAACGCATTAATCGTGGAGCATCGTGTTATTTTTGTTGTCTGACTGTATTAAATGGGTGATCAAAAAGATTAAAAATAAGAAAATAAGACGTTACCAGCACCGTGTCCAAACAACTCTGCTCACCTCCCTATTTTGTTCGTTATGGCGTGACAAGCACCTCATTTCTAAACCAGAATTTGTCATAAATGAATTATTTGACCCTTTACACTCACCTGTAAAATAGACACCCTGACTTCCTAACCTCTGAGTGTAACTGGGTGGTCCCTAGGAGAAGGGAAGTTCCAGGTTCCCTGTCCCACCCAGGAGGGTGGAGCTGAGCAGAGAAAAAGGAGAAAGGAGAGGAGAGAAGAGAAGGAGGGCAGATGGAGAAAAAGACAGAGACCTAAGGAAGTCACATGGAGCAGCAAGCATGTGAAGAAACCAGGCTTGTTTCCTGACCCTGGACTGGTTAAGGCAGATGTGGGTGAGAGACCTGCAGGGAGGTGACTATGGCAGTGTTTATATTGATTTTGATGTTGCTCTTTTCCTCCCAGACTTGTCTGGCCATTTCTGACCCTTTTCCATGGGTCCCGGCCAGAAGGTGCTTTAGTCTAGTGGCAGCTTTCAGGCCTTGCTTTGGGCCCGTCCCTTTTGGGTTGACTTTTGCCCACGAGGGGATGGGTCACTTCAGGTGTTTGATTTAGAAGTTATATTCTTTGTGTTCCGTATTGTATATTCACTGGATTAAAGTCACTTTTCATTAAAGCTTTATGTTTTATCTTTTTGCGGCGGATGGCAGAACCCACTTAGAGCAGGCAGGTTTTGGGGCTTCAGGGGTGCCTCTTTCTCCCCCTGTCCTCTAACAGAATTGGGGTGCCCTATAACATGAGGACCGTGGTGAAAATCAGGGGAGTTAAAGTAAGCAAGCACTGGGCAGGCGCGAGGTGAAACTCACGCTGCTTCGCCCAGCTCCCGCCCTCCCCGCCCCAAGCCCGGAGGCTGCACGGCCTGCGCAGGCGCGTCGTGGCTCCCGCTCCGCCCACTCCCGGCACCGGAGCGCGCACGCAGCCCTACGTCCTCGCTCCCCGGGCGTCGTCCCGCGTGCGCCCGTGTCGTCGCGGCCGTCCTCGGGCACCGGAAGTGGCCCCGGCGGGTTTGCCTTCAAATTGTCCCCTCGCCGAAGCCTCGCCTGGGGGGCTGCTGGCTGTTGG